ATACCTGCTATTGTAGTTTAGTTGAAAGAGGACCCTCAATCGAGCTAGACGCGTCATGCAGTAAACAAAGATTTTTACGCTATATTCAAGAGGGTGCCAAATCTCTAAAAATGAATCGAATTTAAATTTTAAAAAATGGAATTTGCAGCTGCAAGTAAGTAGAATATCATTATGTAACACAAAATTGATAATAATACTTTATGTGATAACAGTAAACGAATGATTTGTACGAAAATGAACGGAAGATTAAAACAGAAAATTTTAAACATGTAGAGAAAAGTTCATAAATTCTGTAGAGTTCTGCGACTGGACCGATCGCATGTTGTAGATCGAACTATTATTGAATGAAAAAAATTAAAACTAGCTGCAACTAGCTGCAACTCTGTCATTGGTGCGAGTTCTTGCAATGTAAAACATAGTTTTCTGAATTTTGTACATTAATGACGCGGAATGTTTTGATCTTTTTCTTGAATTTGTCTGGTGTTTTGAATATTGTTTGCATGTAGCATATAAGCTTGAAATGAAACTGTGGCAAGCGCATAGTGATAAAGAAATAAGATTCTGAAAAACGAATATACAGAAGGGTTTTCAGTATAGAATTGGGTCTAATAGTCGATCAACCAAAGCCTGGTTTCGGTAGCTCGAATGATGAGAATACCGCTCGACAATTTTTCAAAAACTGAAGCATTTCTGCTGCTATTACAGGGGTTGATGAGGACTCGATTAAGCGTTTCCGTGTCATATTGCAGACAATTTCGTGTGGCCATGAAATCGATTTCATAGAATTTCAAGATTATGCCTTACAGACAGCTCGTTACATTGTGCAGTTATATCCGTGGTTCTGCGTGCCAACTTCGGCACATAAGATATTGATTCGTGGTGCAGAAGTGATAAATTCATCGGTATTGCCGATAGGGCAGATGTCTGAAGACGCTCAAGAGTCTACTAATAAATACATTAAAAAGTTTCGAGAAGATTTTGCAAGAAAAGTTCCCGAGTGAAAACAGTGGAAGAGATTATTTTACGCTTATTATTAATATCCGATCCGTTTATTTCGAGTTTGTGCGAATTACCTCGAAAAAACTCAAAGTCATTGCTTCCAGAAGCAGTTTTATTGTTAGTTGCGCCACGTATGCCAGCAAGTACAGGAAGCTCCAGCGATTTCAAAATTGAATAATCTGATTGCGAATCAAATTATTCTTTGGATGACGATGCATGAACTTTTCATCAACTGATTGTATGTTTTATCGTATTAAACAATATATGGATTGATTTTTGTACTTTTTCTATAAAAGTGGTTCGTGTTAAATCCGTCATTTTGTTTTTATTTCAAATTTTGACTTCGGATTCGTAATCAGCGATCCCGAAAACCCTCGAATACTGACTTTCAGCCAAATTGATAACGTTTTTGACTTTTGGCCAGCTTTTTGGAATTTGGCCCCACTGTGCGCCGGTCGGATTTTTTTTTCTCCATGCGAAGACATTTCTTATGCTATAAGTAGAATGGGTATTATGACAATGACTTTGAATATTACGTGATCGATGGCTCGATTTGCCGCCCCCTGGACGTGTCGCCCGTGTGAGATGCACGCCTTGCACGCCCGCTTACGGCGGGCCCGCTACCAAGCTGTCTCAAATCTGTGAAATAATAACTGTGACATATACCAACGTCCTATCTGTTTCTTTTCTCCGTTATCACCAGGCTGTGAGTCACGTAATTATTAAATGGATAAACTACGACGGAAAAGTGACTAATCGAAAGTATCGTGAGCGCGTATTATGATGTATGCATAGGCATACGTGGACTAGAGAGATGGAGGAAAGAGAAAGGAAAGAGCAAAGACGAGCGCTTAAAAAGGATAGGCAGGGTCAGACCCTCAGATGTGTGCGACGATTCTCGAACGAATAAGGTGTGTACGTGTGCTGATCTTTGTAATTATAAATTGTGAATACATGTGACTAATATTACTTTTTTTTATTTCGTGCATGTTATAAGTTATAAATACAGTAAATATAAACAAACAACACTAACCCGACAACATTAAATCTAAATACCAAAATGATTAATTCACTGTTTTTGTTATTTCTTACTCCTGTTTTTAGGTATTCGGTATTCGACCGAATAGCGAAAAATAGGCCGAATAATAACCGAATAGTAACCGAATATTCGTTACATCACTAATAGATATGCAATATATTCTGTTCAATAGATGATAGAGGAAAACATCAGTAATAACAAAAATTTGTGGGATTTATATAATTGTTAATATTAAAAAAATAATTATTATTTTATATTAAATTATTTTAAAAGCAAAATATATTGGTTTTTCCCGACATCGCTTAACGGGGAACATTCATTCGATTCATTTTCTTAATATCCGCTGAACGAGGAACACCGGTTAAAAAAAATTTTTCTTGTGATAAAATTAATTATTACTCTGTCATCTTTCCTTTTCTAAAGCAGCAGAAATTTTTCATTGGTTAAAAAATACAGAATCACTGGCATCGAGAAAGATGTTTTTATTTTAATGAAAATTTTTGTTGAATCAGAAGGCCTTTAATTCTATCAGTTCATTTACCTAAGTTGCACAGGTGAGATTCATATAAATTGTTAAGTTTCTCTCGAATGGAATTTCATTCTGTTCGCGGGTCCTTCCATCTGACAAGATGGCCACAATTTCCCACCACGGCTTACCGTGGTGGGAAATTGTGTTCGAGTCCGATCTAGATTAATGAGTGTAGTGTCTCGCGTTGACTAAACACGCAACACGAGTATACATATCGATTGTATTTACTCGTACGAACGACTGTACAAAACGTTTACTTTTCATCCTCTATTGCGCACGTTTCACAAATTTTATATACTGTATATATTTAAAGCTAAGGCTATCACGCTTTCAAAGATCAAAACAAGGACGATGCTTTGTCGACATAAACCCTGCACGCAAAAATAATTTTTCATTTATGGCGAATTCGGCTGGCTTTTCTAGAGTACACGGAGAATGTTCTGTTTGCTTTTTCCTGTTCGACTGATCAGAGTAGAACAGCGGAGTACTCTAATCTCTGTTCTCATCGATGAGAGTAGGCCTAACTGTTCTGTTTTTGCTCTGGCCGAAGAATAATAATAGCAGCTGCTCAATATAACGTCACTCAATGACGACTGTTTGCGGGAGAATATAAAAATGCTTTGGCAATATTATTCGAGAATAACGGAGGAATACAGTGAAGCAATCGGCTATACTATTACACTAGCAATAAGTGAAAACGAATATAATTTGAATTGTACATCAAAAGTTATTGCATGACTTACACGAAGTTCGGGTCGCTGGCCTACTCTGATTACTTAATTTGGATTGATGATGGCATTACTCTATTCTTGCTGATCGGTAGAGCAGCTGGCCGAATAAGTTACTATTAATTTGTAATATAATATTTAACACAGTGGAGTAGCTAAATTGAGTTTGTTGCCCCCGTGAAAAACACGACACTATACACGTCGAGCTTACGTAGACAAGTAAAAATACCCACCGTAGGAAAAAAATAGGACACTTATCAATATTATTATTAATTAAGCATGTCTAAGAACTTAAATAGATATGATGGCCAATAAGACCATCTTCAAGAGAGCACAGTCTTTACCATTGTCGGAAATTTCCGGTAGTAAGCGGTGTTTTCGTGGAAAAATGAATATATGTTATATGTTTCTACTAGCCCTACAAAAACTTTTCTTACCGTTGCATTAGACCAAAAGTGCCGCCCGGGGTGGACCACCCTCCTCTAGCTACGCTACTGACGTAACAAAAACTGAAGCATCCGATCGTTTCTTCATTAAATTAGTACATAAAGTATCGATTTATTGTTTTATAATCTAATCATATTTTTTTATGGCGTACTTTTCAAAAAAATGTTCATTTCTTCTAATCTTATTTCAAAGAACTCCGTGTTCGGAGCACTCTGTAGCTGTAACCAATAAGCGAATTTACACCAAAATTTATATGCATAATATGCAGATAATGCGGAGAGAGATTTTGAAAAAGTTAGTTTAAAAACTTCCGCTAAGAACACTTTACAGAATTCTCCTGTAAAGCGGCCCTAGTCAGCCGTACTTACTGTAATAAATGTAAACAAAGCCATTAAGATTTTGCAGTATCCATCCTCTTTATAGCAAAATGATAATAATATTTTCTAAATAAAATAGTTGAAAAGCAGAAATCTTTTAATTTAAATTTACTTTGAATAACATTTCAAATTTACTGTTCAAATGTCTTCTGTGTCCATAGACGAATAATTGATTTCTTGACAGGCCATAACAAACAGATAAAAGCAAGGAATACTCTCCTAGAGTTCGCAGAACAGAAAGAGTTTTTAAAATATCTGTGTTTTTAAAATACTTTTCTAATATTTTTTCTCATGGCAACTACTACATCAATGCAAAGTTCTTGCATTTTTAGTACTTTTATTAATACGTGTAAAGTGTTATGGCGCTGCTCAACACTATATTTCGTGTAATGAGGACCACCAGTGACCGAGTATGCGGCCGGATGGCCGAGCGATCAAGGTGGCATTCTATCGTTCTGGGGGACCCGGGATCGAACAAGGACGGGTCGAAAAACCCCCAGGAATTTTTTTGGGGTGGTCCGTCCGGATATGTTGGGTCCCGTCCTTCACCACCCGGCTGCCCCATAATGGGCTTGCTAAAAGAGGCCCTGTTAGTGCCCATAGGGCGGAAATGGTTTTAAAAAATGAAAAAAAAAAACATACTAGTGACCGAGCGGATAAAACCACTGAACACCGGTAGTCGCAAGTTTGTGTTTCACCAACGGGCTGGCTGCGTGAAGTTTTCTTGGTTTACTTCACCTAATTATTAAGGGCCATTTTCCCACAGAAAGTACCCGAATGGCACTGCTCCTCGACAACTTGCCCAAGCGCCCATCATTTCGGGACCCCCGGTTAAAATTCCGTCATACTGAGAATGCAAATATTTTCAGTTATTGGCTAAATAATTAAAAATACGCCAGCCAATATTAGCCAATTAATTATTGGCTAAATAATGCAAATATTTTGAATTATTTAGCCAATAATTAAAAATAGCATAAAGATGATATAAAATTAACTTGGCTACTTTAAAGTGACTAATTGCACCGACACTGTAATAAAATGTTTTTTTAAATAGTAGCAAGATTTATAGAAATTACTTTTTATTTTTAGTTCACATTTATTAAATATAATTCTCGGACTTTTCTTCAATATGTTGACGTAATTGTACCATGTTTTTTTTTTCTCTTCATAATCTCATATTGGGGCGCTGTATCTGCTTTGTGCGGGGTTGTTCACACGTGACTTTCGTAGGTTTAAAATTTCATTTGGCGGGAGATTTTTCGCCGTTCCCTTCGCTTACTTTTTAGCGAATTATTTAAAATTTGTTTACGTATAAGTCTTATTAAATGACGTCTTTTGCGTAAGTTGTTTAACTTTTATAATTAGTTTATAAATTTATTTATGCTAAATGATTTTTTTCATGTATTTTTGCATAGATTAAGGAATAATCCAGTCGTAATGACGATTGTATTAGTAAGGGAATCGAGTCGTGTTTTGTTGGGATTGAAGAAAAGAGGATTCGGAGAAGGAAAGTGGAATGGTTTTGGTGGGAAAGTGCAAGAAGGAGAAACGATAGAAGAAGCTGCCATTAGGTAAGCTCGTGTTAAAATACAAACTGCGCGCATAGAGATATTGCAGAAAAGGCTGCAATGTCTCTATGCGTGCTAGTTAAGTCATCCGCCTGATCACTCTTCTATTCTCTGCACAAATTTTATCTTCATATTCTATATATGTATATGGTATATACAGGATTACCAGATGTCTGTGTTCCAGTTGTAATTTTGTCTCGGTTAGAGGTAAGATACCAAAATTTATTTAAATTAATTATAAATCCAGTGGAGCAACTTTTGAAAACACCCAAAACCAAGAAAGGTGGCTGTAGTGTGGCTTGATCTTGATGTCCGGCTACTGTCGCCTTCCTGCCGGGACGTACCCCTACGGGTCAAATAAGAGCAAAGACAGGATAGTGTGCCTTAATGAGTTAGTGACTAATTATTCTTTATGCATGCATATTGTTTCTTGTCATAATTACTAAATCTTTTGTAAAATTTAAGTATGTTGAATTGTAATGGGAGGAAGTGAGGAGTACTTCCGTCGCCTGTCCCGGTTTGATGTGAAAATCTGGCAAGCCTATGTATATCGGTTAGCTCTATTTTTCTATTTTTATTCAACTTTTCTTATAAAAAAAATTGTTTACTTGTAGAGAATTAGCTACACAATAATGTAAGTCATTCATATCATGTTTTTCTTAAGCAGAATTAGATTTTTCACAAAATTTAAATGTTTTAGAATCCATATTTATTTCATTGGTTTTGATATGGATATGAAGATGATGATTGATTGTTAGCATTATAATCATAATTATCCTTCCAGAGGGTATGCCTAACTGTGTTTACTTTGGCCTTAGAAATAACTGAAGATAAAAAAGGATAGACTAGAGAGGTTGAGGCGCACGTTTTAAACGTGTAAACGTGTACGTGTGGCGTTCGGCGCCGCTTTCCCGTAAGCCTAAAAGTTTGACAATGGTGTTTGGATAGTCGG